GTATTACTATTTCTATAATAAATTTTGTTCCGGTTTACGGTTACGTTCCAAGTAAATGTATATCATTCCAGATTCGGTTTCGGTTCGTCTAAAAATTTCGGTTCAGTTCCGGTTGAAATTAAAATTGAAAATCGATAAAAAAAACAATTTAAATTGGTCAGTTGAAATTTAAAATCAAGTCCAAATATCAAATTTTTATTTAATTTTATTTACCAAATTCCCGTATTATAAAATTGAAAATACAAAAGAAATAAAAATTAATTAGTCACTAGTTCAACACATGCACTTTGCAATGTTTCTTCAGACATGTTTACAGTAATATCCTTTTTTAGTCACTTTCATTTGAGTTTGTTCTAATGTTAGTTGGGCAAGACTTATGCTTGCCATCAAATTTTCTCTTTTTAGTCGGTGGTTAATTGGTGGTGATTGAGGCGTTCCCACGAATTTCGGTTTTCTTTATTATCTATTTGTTTATTTGAAAAAATAATTCGGAGTATTCATCGGTCTTCAGAATAGACTGACTAAAATTTTTTTTTTTCGAATGACTATATAAATAAACCAAAATACTAGAGCATACATGAAAGAAAGCAATTATAAATTAATTTAATGAAAAAAAAATAATTTAACCGAATTTAACCGTAATTAAAATTCCGTTTTCGGTTTTTCAACTGAGCAATTTTTCGTTCCGGTTACAGTTACGGTTCAGTGAAATATTCCAGTTAATTTCGTTTTACGGTTCGGTTCCGGTTCAACTCTCTGATTATACATAATAAAACAAAATAGAATGTAGTATATATAACTTCCATTAAATACATATTATTATTTCTTGATTGATAGCCCTTTGGTAATATTGTATGACCAATAAATATATTAAATTTAAAAAAGACATATTAGTTAGTTCAGTTCAGTTTTAATTTCTTTATTAAATTGTTAATTATATTACATTTATGTTGTTATTAGATTTGTGGCCTTTTGTGAGCTTTTGCTCTTTGTGCCATTACATCATATTAGTTAATATAATCTTTATAACAATAAATAACGAAATAGCAAAATAAGTAACAGAAAAGCATTCAAGAGTCCTCTGGTTTCGAAAGTACATACTACATTTATGTGCGAGGATCAACAAAGAATGTCACCGATCCACGCCGTAAAGAAGTTAGCTCCATCTTCTGGGAAAGTTCTTAAAGTAATGTATAGATACCATAGTTGTACACTAATCCCTTGTATTACACGGTACTATCTTAACACATTTTCGCTCTTACACGGTTTAAAAAATAAATTAAATGTTGAAAATAGCATATAGCTCGTGTTACACAATAGGAACCTATCTTGGGATAGATTTACTTCTATCATGGTTTAATATATCATACTTACTAAAATTATTTGTAAATTTACAGAATCAAATAAAATATTCTTAATTGGGCAAAAAGAAGCCCAATAAGACAGTGTCTTATTATTATTATAAATTTCTACAATAACATTTTTATGGTAGTCGGAATTTCGATATAGTTGGTATTTTGATTGTCGGGATTATGGTAGTCGGGTTTTCGATAAAGTCGGGATTTACATTGTCGGGATTATGATAGTCGGGATTTTGACATAGTCGGGATTTTGAACGTCGGGATTTCAATAGACGGTCTTTCGGTTGTCGGGCTTGCGATATAGACCCCTTGTATGGTATTAAGAAGAACGTTAAAATACATTTTGTTTTATATACAAATAAACCTTTGACTTAGTGTATATTTGGTTGCCTATAGCAACATGATCTGTGTAGCAACTGCACCACCTAGCAAATAGTACACTTACAACTGTATTATCTATCAAATTATGAATTTATCTATCTGTAGTTATTACATTGATATATAATATTTTAAAATTATTATATTGCAGGAAGGAAATTTTAAAATCTGAAAGAAAATCGAATTACTACATTGGATAATTGAAATAATAATTTGATATTATTCCAATAGGAATTAAGGCTTATGACAAATTTTATGTCTGACACTTTGATGGCGCAATCCAACCAACTTTTGATTTTTTTTCAAAAATCTAGATGACTTTAATTAGTCTTAAAATATTAATAAATCTATAATTAAACATAATTTATTGCATATTTGTTTACAAATAAATAAAGGGCCATATTTTCCGTTTTATTAATAAATAAATATGCTTTAAAAAGAAAAGGATGACAAAAATTCTTATTATTTACATTTGGATAATTTTTAGACCATTATCCTATTTACAGTATACTTGTACATATTTATTGTAAATTTATGAAACACATTTTAGTAATTATGAAGAATTATTTGTAAAAGGTTTCTGAAATGCAAATATGTATACATATTATTATATTATAATTTAAAATAATATAAATATAAATCCATATTAATAAAGATAAAATAGATTTCTCAGTATTCAATAGATCAATATTATGTAAATAAATATATATATATTTGTATTATGTTGTAGGCATTTAAAAGGAACATTTATTCATACAAATAAGAATAAAATTACATTGTCTATAATTTACTTATTAATGCATAATTAGACCCTTTAGGGCAGAAAGATCTACGGTCAATAGTAGGGTTTAAACAAAAACCGGTTTTCTACTCTATTTTATACAAAACCGGCTTAAACCGGTTTTCGAATGTTCAAAAAAAAATGAGAATTGGGATTTTTACAACTTTTAGCGCATACAAAATTTACAGAAATTCTCACTCTCACTTCCTAGAAAACTGGGTTTAATCGTCTTTAGAGCATTAAATAAATTAAAATTCGTTCTTCTCTTTGTACCATCCAAATTCACATCTTCATGTATTTATGAATTGATTTTTTCAAAACAATCTGTTATTTGATTTTCTTCTCCACCGCTTTTCATCATCGCAGTCATCTTCTATTTAATAATTTGAATGCAATCTTGATAATATTTGTCCACAAACTGATTGAAGCTAGTGAAATAAATAAGCTAGACGTGTTTGTCTAAACGTATTGTGGATTTTGTAAATTAACTAAAAACCTTACTAAACTTATACTTTACAACTAATTTCAGTTTTCATTTTTTTCAATTCACTTAACAGATACGATTTTGTGTCAACATTTTTATGTTTTAAATCAAATAATTAAAATAATTCAATAAATTTTATATTTTAAGTTTAGGCTCAAAAATCGTTATTTTAGTTGAAAAAAAACCGGTTTTCGAAGTACATAAATTTCCTTTAAAAACCGGTTTTCAAAAACCGGGTTTTAAAAATCGACAAACCCTATTCAATAGCCCTCTACATCAGTTACCGTTTTGTTTTATTTTTATTATAGTGTGAAGGTTTTGCTATACCTTGTACTATAATTATATAAAATACACATTTTAATTAAATAAATGTATTAATAACAATTTAACAAGTTTTAATTGCTCTAATCGGTTAAAAAGGCGTAAAAATATTGCGATTATGTAGCTTTATTTTTGTTGAAGGTTCGATAAGAACCCTGCAGAGGCGCCACTTTAGTCGCCGCTACACGTCATTGAATAACCTTGTATACCAACCTTAAAACAAGAAAACGAGTGGGTTTAAACGTTTGTAGCAGGGGACCAAAGACGCTGTGTGGTGGCGTGCTCTCGCAAATTTTAAAATCGAGTGGCGCCATCTTCAGTGGTCTCTATGGAACCTTAATTCAAACAAAAGCAATGGAAAGCAATGTACCCAAACATAACCTAAATATTTACTGTGTAAAGTGTGAGCTGTGTTCCAGTGGCATCCACATTCTCGACATTTATTAAATTTAAAGGTGATATTTTACATATATAATTTACTTTTACATTATCTAATATTACTATTTATTGCAAATTATACAATTACATAAATAATTACAGGCTTCTCTGTAAATTTAGCCAACTAAATGTTCATTTATATTATTACAAGTTCAGTACCACATATATTAGTTAATTTTACTATTACTCACTAAATCTAAAAATAATGTATTGAAATAAATAAAAGTTACTAATATATTCTTACCCTTACATTCGTTATTTCCTGATTAGCTAATGTTTAGATATTTCATATGTCTACTAATTAATTTCTCCATTTTGCAGATGAAATAACATAATGAATCAAATATGGTTTTCACAACAATTACTTGAGTAAGTAGGTATCGAACCTACTCAATCCAGCATGTAAAAGTACCAACAAAGTCAGGAATGAAAAAGGATATTTTGTTGGCTCAATTCAACCCCTGTAATGGCTAACGGTAAGTGATCTGAAGCATATTGGAGAGGTGCAGTATTTTCAGTACAATGTATGTATTTTTGGATATACATCCAATTTCTGAATAGTTATATTTGTTTACTATTGTGCAATACATTTTAAATATACACTTACTGGAGTTTACTTGTTGTTCAGTTTATTTAAATCCTAAATGAAATTCTAAATAGCCTAAAACAAATTAGTGAAATTTATCCCACCTTATAGTCCTCGCAAATGTTCCTTCAATCAGACTGAAAAGCTAAAATAAAATAATTAAATATATCCAATGGCACAAGGATTTTATCGCCATCCTACTAATTTAACAATACTAATTATTAGACTAATCACTAGTAATATAAGTCTTAAGAAAGACTAAAATGTTTAATAATTAAACTTATTTGGATCAGAACAAACTCGGTTAAAAGTAGTAAATAGTGCGAAAACGTTAAAGCAATAAAAACCATTTGAAAGGATAAATTAAATATAGGTAAAATATATGCGAAAGTATTTTATTGTTTGAAATTTCAAATTATTTGGCGCTATTATATTTGCTGGTACTTGTGGCGCCGCGTTATGTGCTCTCCATGCACTAAGGAACGCCACCGCAGTGACTATACAACAGATTTCTCATAAGACTTGGGCTTGGTCCCCTTGGTTTGTAGTGCTTCTCGGTGTACGTTGGAACTATAGTTAATTGTTTTCCTAAGTTGGTGAGCATGCGCTGTCGTTTAACGACTTTTGTTGGTGGATATCCATTGGCAACCGACCCGAATGTTTCGTATCGTATTTCTGTTCGCCATATTGGTGTAGATGCTAGCTTGGGAAAATCCAGAAACATCTTGGCCTCCATTTGTGAAATACGTTAAAATTTTAGTATCCAGTGAGTTTCTTGTGTCTATTGGATGTGTTTGGGTGACCATTTCTGAAATCTAGTGGTCTCTGAGACAAGTGCATTATTATTTACTGTGGCTGTAGGCATCTCTGTGACAGAAGAAGTTCGAATCAAAAATGGCGTGTGCTACACTGAAAAGGTCTCTGGATTGGGAACCCGTTTTAGGTGCTAGGCCTGCGAAAAGGAGAAGATGCATTCCGTTCTGTGGTACTCCAAGCCCTTCGAAGGAAAGGCCCATGGTCTCGCCCATCGGCCTCCACCATCAATCCGCCTCACAGTCGGCGTCGGTGACGAGTACGCCTTCCAGTTCCTTTTTCCCGGACGTCGTTGGCAAAAATCTCACGCCAGGTATGCCTTCAAATTCCGAATTGCACTATTCATCTCCGCCCGGCTTCCAAATGTTATCTAGCAAACGCCGGAATAATAATAATAGACAAGGGAAGCCATTCATTACGGGATATGTCAAATGCAATTTGTTGACATTTGTGATTGACATCAGCTGATTGAAACTCATTGTAATCCATTCATAAAAAAAATATATATATATCCACTGAAAAGTGTCAAAATTTTAATATTACAATAAACAATACATCAATCATTCCCACGTATTTCGACAGTTTCATTTGCAAGTCGATATAAGTTCTAACCATTATTTTATGACATGGCTTATTTTTTTTTTTTGCATATTTTGCAATTAATTCTTTGAAAAGTTGCTTACATTTATAAATGTAAGCTATTATAATTATCAAATTTTGATATAAAAAATGAAACATAATGAGTAATTGTTGGCATTGATTTATTATCAGACCATGTAAATACAAAACAAACATTGTTATGGCTATTAAATATTTTCCAGTGAAAAATAAAATGAAACTACCCATTGTTTCACGTTATCCAATTTGCATATGCCGTTTCTTTTGTTATTCACTGGATGGCTTTTATAAAACGAAATACATTTGAACTCCGTGATTATCATAACCTAACCTTTTGGTCTTGAACTTACATAAACAAAAAGAAGTAATTGCAACATTACAGAAAGAAACTTCCATATATAAATTATTTGAACTTTAACATGTTTTACATCATACACTATCTGTATTATTATTATTATTTTGTATACAATTTGTTTATATTTATATCACTTTTATTTAATCCTATGAAAATTCAAGTCATCTCAAATTTATTTTTAAGATGAATCATATTCCTAACAAAACTAGTTTATTATATTACTAATAGTTTTGAATTACTTAGCACTTTAAAAATAACGCCTGAAAAAAAAAATAGTAGGCATTTTATGAATTATTTTAATATTCTAAAGTCATAACAGCTTATTAGTAGGTCTAAAGTTAGTGATAAAATGTATGACCAAATTCTAGTTACTTCATTCAATTACAAATTTCATTGAAAATTGTATTTTGAACCTTACTACTAGTGTTCTCTGAAATTCGTTATTTTTTGTGAAAATTTGAAAAAAGGTAGAATTTCCTTTAATTCTGAAAAAGCTGTATTATATCCCTTCAAAAAAACTACTTATATGTAGATTAAGTTTCACTTTTCTTAAATTGCTATATTTTGTATACCAGTTTTATAAATATACTCATATTTTCATCATTATTAATATTCAGACATTTTATCTAATGTTTTTATTTGGTTGAGTATTGAGTACTGTATTTAAAGTTTTGATTGATAGCCATAATTATTTATTTATTTCCATATGTAAAATGAGCTGGCTCGTTTTCAGTAGTTCTTATTTCACTATTAATATACAATGTTTTCATTTCATTCTCTGTTATGTAATTGTGTATTGACGCATTGTATCTTTCAGAAGTAATGGCAGCAAACATAAGGGCAGAATTGAAACGGTTCCAGAGGCGTAAACAGCTTCAATTTGGTTCGAATTCAGACAACGACAGCGGCTCAGGAGGTGAGCAGACGGAATCACCATCAAAATCAGAAAAACCAGTGTTCACATTTAAGCAGGTAAATTTCCAATGTTTGTTCTTACGTCATCTCTATTTCATTTAATCTGTTGTTCTTTTTGCAACTTCATTGATAACTTGAAATTTTAAACAGTTCTTCTTTAATAAGCAATTCAAATATGTCTCAAGTTATTTATGACCTTACGCAATTTCAATTCTATAATTGTAAATAACATTCATATTATTGACGTCACCTGCCTATATACATATGTTATACAACGAAAACATGTGTATAGTATGTATAGCTTCTAAGAATATTTTGTAGTCTTTTTGGATTAGTTACATTTATGGAATTAAATATATATATATGAATAAATTTACGTAATCTATGAAATGTTAGTAATTGAATATACTTATTATCTATAGCAGTGATGGCGAACCTTTTGTGTTGAATTCTAATTTTTTTCATGTGTGGTGAACATAATTTTTTTTTGACATGTCACCCAAAAGTCTCGCCGTGTGTCCACTGACACTCGTGTCATAGGTTCGCCATCTGATCTAGAGCATCGGTCGCCAACCTTTTTGACCTCACGGATCACTAAACTCAAAATTTGTAATCCCGTGGAGCACTACAATGATTCTTTTCTATAAAAATAAGATATGAAATTACTTGTTTTTACATTGGGTCTTTTATAAACGTGATCTTATTGCAAAATTGCAAAAAAAAAACAAAATCAGAAAACAATAAATAAAAAATTGCTTAACGAGTTTAATTCGTTCCAAAATTTCTGGATATTTACTCGTATAATGAAATACTCGTATAGTGAAACATATTCAAAAATACACATAATATGTGTACACAAGTTTTAAAAATGATGTAGCAGGCGCGCAATCCGGGACTTCTCTTCTCATCGTTACTCGTTATGCGAAACTTCGCTCGTTAAGCGAATCAATTTCTTACAACTAATTTTTGCTCGTTAAGCGAAATGCTCGTTATGCAAGGTGCTCGTTAAGCGAGGTTCCACTGTATATACATATTACCCTGCGGATCACTGGTTGGCGACCGCTGATCTAGAGATTAAGTGATTGTTATACGTTAATTAACTTATTCAAATATTTACAATAAAGAACTAAATATCTAATGTGTAATTTTCATTTATAGGTGGGATTAATTTGTGAACGAATGCTTAGGGAAAAGGAATCAGAAATTAGGGAAGAGTATGATAATGTCCTCACAACAAAACTAGCCGAACAATACGATGCCTTCGTCAAGTTCACATATGACCAGATACAAAAAAATTATTCATCTGTACCTAGTTGTGAGTATACGCGAAAATTTTACCTAATACCTGCTAATGTAATACCTGCTTTTCTGTTTGCAGATTTATCGTAAGAGAAGATTATTTTTCTTTATTGAGTATATCAGCGCATAAATATTAAACAAAACTTATATAAATATATATATACATACAGGTAGTTTTGCATATGAAACTATATACACTACACTTTTACAATTTTGTCGGTAATACGTTGTTGAGGTAGTCCCGCCTTACATCATTATAAATATATATATATATTATATTTAAAGAAAGGAAAGAAATATTTAATGACATTTTAAATCTAAGAGGATTCCCGCTGACAGCAACATTTGTACATAAAAACTCTATATATACAAGAGCGAGCATACATAACATGTGACTTTTGTCTATTATATTGGGAATTGAATGATTATATTTTGTTGTTGTAAATAAAAAAAATGGTTTTTATATTATATATAAAAATTGAAAACTTTGCCAATTCAATGCAAAAAAAAATGATTGATATATAGTATGTAATGTAATACTAGATAATGTATATTTTTTGCGTTTGACACTCAAGTTTAATTATATATTTTTTTTATATAAGACGAAGCGCGCATGTAAAGAAATTTGTTGGACGTGTAAAGAAAGTGGAAAAAAGCTTAAGTGTCTCTCCTCTATATATATATTTTTTCCCCGTTACTATTTTGTTTTTCTTAGCGATAATTTCTTTAGCCTTAAAGATTTAGTACTGTATTGATTTTATTGACCATGCCGAGGGTTTATCATTTCAATTTATACTGCTTTCAACGGATGGATTGAAAATCATTCCTTGTTTGTTTGTTATTTTCTCTCGCCGGGATTGATTTTGATCTGCTTAAATTTGAACTGTGATTATTGTACTTTATTACACGGTACATAAAAGCAACAAAATAATAATTTAAAAAAAGAAAAGAAACGTAAATTAGTACGCAAGTAATTCCAGTTAAGTTTAATCATTCGTTAATTTATATACTTTTCTTCTTCTTTTTTTAAAATTTGTTTTGTTTATGTGTTTTTTTTTTGTATATTTGATGGTCAAAAATTTATTCGAAGCACTGAATTATTTAAAATGTATTATCTCGAAAAGGATTTAGCACTGATACGAATTATTTCACTTTTTGTTCGAAATTTATGTAAATGAAATCAATGCCTTATTAATGATAAACTTTTATTTAATTCTCTATTATCACTAAACTCTTTTTAGTTTGTTTATATTATTTTTATTTTCGTTAGGTTAAGTTAGGAGAATTATTGTTTCTTTTTTTTTTAGATAGACTTAAGAAATTTTGTGAATGTGTGTACTTGTATGAATGAATTAATATTTTTATTTAGATTAATATATTATATAAGATTTTACAATATACCGCAAAGAAATGCCATAAATGTGATTATTTTTCTCTTATTATTTCGTTGTTTTCTTTAACAAGCTTGATTCAAATTGTACAGACTAATATACAGATCGTTTTTAGTTTATAAATAGTAGTTTTTTTTTTGTTTCTGAGCTCGTATGTTCATCGGGATGTAAAAAGTTTTCAAAGTCTTCTATTTGTCGTCGTGATTCGGTGTAATTCATCCGAGATTAAAACTTGTGCAAGCTTTGATTTAATTTTAAACATTGCTCGGCTGAATCACGATTCGGGCGGCGATCTAATTTTTAAGAATTCATGATTCTTAAATGGAAAAAATATGTTTTTCATTATTATTAATTAATATTATTAATTTGTTACTTAGCTTCATAGGTTAATACCGAGATAAATCTGCTTTATTATTCTTTATTATGGATATACTTTTTCGCCTTTAGTTAACTTTTTCACAATAGGGTTTAGTATCTAAATATATATACACACACACATATATATTGTTTTCTCGCGACAGTTAAGGTCATATCGCTTTTTATTTATTTCATGCGCCAAAAATAACTTTACCTTTATATCTTATTTCTTCTCATTTACATTATACTTGTGCATCTCGTTTGGACAATTTTTTTTGTTTCTCCATGTTGTTACATACGATTTCTAACTTCCAATTGTTTTATTTGCCTCTCCCACATAGACACGCACCAAAAACACAGTCATACGTTTTCATTACCATTGTTATTATAATAGGTCACATATACTTTACAAACATTTTGTGTTATCATTTGTAAGCCTGATTGAATGAGAGAACAAGTAAATGGAATAAAGAAAAAAAATGAATATATAATATTATATACTTGGGTACGATAATTTTTTTTTAATTACTAAGTTATGATATGTAATGAGGATTTGAAATCGCATAAAAAAAATGTAAAAAATTATAATGTGTAAATTTGTTAATTTAATAAATTATTTAATTTATAATTTCGTAATTAAAAATTTATTAAATTATATTTCTTGTTTGTATTTACTTCCAAGTGTGACAGGTTCATCTTTTCAAGCAAATTATTTTGTCACAGATCAAAATGAAAACATGTTTTGTTCAACTGGGTAGGTATAAATGATTTCTACTATTTTCATGTAAGTATATTATATAAACATTAATTTCTTGATAACGTTAGATTTATAAGTTAGCATATTTTCTATAAATCAGCTTCTTTCGATTATTAGAAATACATGACTGACAATACGTGACATTAATATTGTAAATGAATTTGGGAATTAATTAAAAAGCTGGACATTTTTCATGTGTTTTATTAATTATATCAACATTAATATTATATTCATTTTCTTCCAACAATTGTGAATTTGAATGCAACCAAAGATGTATTCATATAAATATTTATCATCTGCAAGATATTTTTCTTTCATTGGACATCGCAACCAATCATCACACAAATCACACGATTCGAAATCAAACAAACCCAATAACGAATTTAGCTTCCTTTACTTCCATCAAGTTTCGTATTCGTTAGGCACTTTTTTGCAATCGTATGTCCATTTATATAATCACAAAATAGCATCTAAGATTTTCCGTCATCATAGAAAATATCAAATAGAAACAAGAAAGAAAATAGGAAGGATTCCGCACGGCATTGAAACAATAAAATCTTGCCGCTGGGTTTCACTTCACACTAAAAGAATTTATAAAATCTCAGATCTAATAAATCTTTGGCATTTTGTTGCTATTTTGTACAAAACCCTGTTTGGCAATAAATCAACTTAACCACTTCGAATACTACGTAAATTATAAAAGTGCAGCTCAACCAAAAATATCGTTATTATGTGCCATACCTTACGGTTTGAAATTCAATAAATAATCTTTAAGAGGTGTAGGAAGATTAAGCTTGTTGATGAACAGACCGGGCTTCCTACCCATGCAGTTGTGTATCCTTACGCGACACATTTGCTTAAGACTGCGAGGTCTTTTGTACAAATGGCGTATGATGTAAGTAAGAGGTTCCGTCATTTTACCAGGAACCAAGCTTAGCTGTTGCGTGTACAGTATTTGCAGGCACTCGAATAATTGCCTGTGCTCCATCACAAGGTAAAATAGCATTATTATTTTCGAGAAGGACATGTTGGGATCCATGATGATGTTCTCTTTGCGCGAAACAAGCATAATGTAGTAATACAGTATGTAGTTCTTGCTCTTCCAGAACGTCTGAGAATGTTGTATCGGCTGATTCTTGATAGCCTCCGAGATATTGAGGCTCAAATCAGCGTTCGCTCCGTATTGGATGAGAGTAAGTGTCAGGTCGTAGATGTAATTGATGTCCTTGCAGTCGCGCACGTTCTGGATCATGTCCATGCATGATTGAAGGATGTGCTGAGTTTTGTTGCTGACCCTCACATTGGGATCTAGCCCGTGGGTGAGCAACAGTATTAACAAATTTTTAATAAACTCGAAGTTCAACTTCTTCTGGCTATCACAGTTCAAAGTGATGTTTTCGGACACGGTGAAGACCAGTACGTGCAGCGGCGTCAAGTTGGCGCGGTAGCTGCAGTTCGGATTCGCGCCGTACTTCAGTAAGATCCTAATGCAATTCAAATAGCACACCTGCGAAATAGTCGGTATAATTGGTACGATTATGACTTCAGCTTGATGCGTTTACCTTCATGCTATGAGTGAAATGGTGCAAAGGATCCTTGTTGATTAATGGCACAAGGCAAATCATAATTGGCACAGATCCATCTCTTCCGACCATATTTGGTAGGCCGCCTTCGTTCAAGAGCATGTTGAGCAATTCGTAGCAGATTTCCCAGTCTCTGACGTGCCTCAAGACGCAAGCCAGGGCGGAATTACCGGCTTGATTTATCGACTGCTTTGCACCGGATTGAAGGAGGTACCTTACCAAATGCAGCACATCCCATTTGTTCCACTTATCGTAACCATATCTGGCTTCCTCCAGGGCGTATCTTACTATGAGGGCGTGTAATGGCGTATTTCCCAAAGTATCCGGTGTATTTATTAATTCCTTACATCCGTTATCCAACAGCAATCGTATAGTTGATATTGTATCTTCCGCCGACTTATGAGCAACTAAAAGAACTGAAACCAACATATAAATATTAAAGACAAATCATTTATCCACAACAACAAATTAAAGTATTTTTTTTAAATTATCTATTTCCAAACAATAATTCTTTAAAGGTCATTACTTTTTTTAAAACATGTTCAGAAACTTTTCACGCTACTCCTACTAATGGCTTTGAACTTTTTGACCCACAATTGGAAACGGAATAATCGATGTCACGCGCTCGTGAAATAATACAGACGGAAATTGCCTCAACACAATTGATCTCTTTCTCATTAAGTTAGGTGTCAAGGTAAGAAATAGCATTGATCCTGTTCATTTGAATAATTTACTAACCAACGTGTAGTAAAGTCATCTGCTGTGTGCTTGTTCGCACCGTCGTATCAGCTCCTGCGGTGATTAACAACTCTAGGAATTTGCTGTCGTGCGACACAGCATAATGTATCGGATAATATTCATCCTTCAGGATGTGTATTTCTTCACTGCGCTCAGTCACAAGGAATTGGGTGCATCTCCAGGCCCCTCTCTCGCAAGCCGCATGCAAAAGCGGTTTACGTGATCGAAATACAACATTCTAAACAGTTGATATCAGATTGGTTCTAATAATAGTTAGATAGGAAATTACCCATAGATCTTCGCATTTCTGCGCTAACATAACGAGTATATTGACTTGATCACCATCCAGGGCATAGTACATTGCAGACTGCAGTTTACTTGGAGCCCTGTCCCTATCCCTTTCAATGCATGCCTCATCCTGTTGAATAGCAGCTAAAATTACTCATTAATAAAAATACACCAAGATCTAATTAGAATGAAAATACAGTATTTTCCAATCTCTTCACAGTTGCTGCTGTGTGTCCCTGGCCAGCACATTCTTGCTTCCACATCAACTTTAGCTCCATTTTTCAACAACAAATCAACACACTCATCATGACTATAAACAAAAGTAAACAAGTATAACAACAATTTATATATCTATTGCTTTGGGTATACCCTTTGAGACAGGCTATGTGCAAGGGTAAACTGCAAGGACACCTGTTGACATCTGCATTGTGCCGTGCCAACAACCACCTCACTAAATCAACATTGTTAGCACCAACACACTTTTGCAGCAGGTTGTAACCAGCGTCATCATGTATTGCAAGTATATTCTCGTGCTACAAAAATTGTAAAATTGATCAAGTTACTCAATATCATGGAGGACAATGTACAAATACTTTGGGGATCTGCTGTAGAAGTCCTTCTAGTCTTTGCACACTGACTTTGGGGTTGGCACGCAATGCATCAAACACTGTTTGCACTTTCTGCCTGGTTGGATCGGACACTTTATGGCCATGGCTGGTTGAGAGCAGGGCACTGCCTGATTGAAAGACTTGGCTGACAGAGCCGCCCATGATTTTAGCAAAAAATATTTTATTTACTACTGTTAGTGAATTGTTAGGGCACTACCGAAATCACCCTTTTAATTTGTAGTACTTCTTAAAGCCAGACACGTCATGTTAGGTTAGATGCAGGTTTCATTCGCTGTGCCGCTGAATTCGCACTGTATTTCCACGATCATCGTAGATTTGTTTAAGTAAAATACATATGATATCATTGTTTATATTTATTTTATTATCTTACGTACGCGACGAGCGTAATTGTAAAATGTTGACAATTAGTAAACTGCGCACTATTATATATATATACGTACTCCATATACTTATTCAAAAATCAATAATAACACTTCGGACGACATTTACTGACATCTACCATCCCACCAATGAACCTTAAACTGCATATAGCAATATGCATCATCGTAGACGAACAACATGCATTCATTTATGGAAATAGCTTTAAATTCAGTCAGCATTGCAAGCAAATCACATCCAGAATGTTCGTCCTTATACTCAATCCGCATAACATTCATATTTACAAACAATTTTCGTTCTATAAATAAAGTCATCACCATAATTATATCAAACTAATTATTGGACGAAAGCGTACGACGTTACGTAACGCCTTTAATCGATTTCGCATTATATCCATTTCTATTTATATACATTTGTCAATTTGAAACATCTTCAATTACTTAACGAGCAAAGTCCGAAGGCTGCGAAAAGTTCATATTATCAAAGAAAATTGCAATGCATTCAACAGAGAGAGATTAAGACTTCGAGGCGTGCCTTCATATATGGAACTCGCGTGCGTTGCACCTGGAATTCCCGTGTCCGGAATTATACCAATAATTAGTTTAAACCGAACAAAAATGAGAGTAGGTCAATGCGATTATTTTCTTTAATTTGTAAAATTTGTTACTCGGTCATAAAGTTACTAGCTTTAAAATTTAAAAGAATATAAATAAAAACTTGAATAACTAGTATAAATACAATATATACTAGTATATATATAGAATACATAACGTGTTTAATGTATATTAACATATAATTTCACATAAAACATATATTATAATTAATATTAGATTACCAATTTTGCAAATTAATAGTTAGAAGTTTTATAGTACAGTGGAACCTCGCTTAACGAGTTTAATCCGTTCCAAAATTTCCGGATTTTTACTCGTATAGTGAAACGTATTAAAAAAAACACATGTGTACACAAGTTTTAAAAATGATGTAGCAGTCGCACAATCCGGGACTTCTCTTCTCAGTGTCACTCGTTATGCGAAATTTCGCTCATTAAGCAATATATTTATTTTAACACATTATAAAACTTCACAATATAAACATAATTATTGCTGTTCTATACGCTTCAACAAGCTCGGAATCGCGTGAAATTAGAAAATGTCGGAGAGAAAAAGAACAGTTTTTTTAAATCTTCAGTAAATTCACTTGCACTTTCTTGAATTTATTGTTATTTCATTATGGAGCTAAAATTAAACTTAATTTTTAAGACAACTATTTACTAAAGTAATTTCAAGCTTTAAAATCAGACGATTATATTCTTTTCCTATTGCTATATATGCGGTCCATCGGTTATTATAAAATTAAAGCCTTCAAACATATTTATACTTCAATAAACAAACACAATCAAATAAGGTTTTAATAGTTTTAAGTGTATACTAGAGATAATAAGTAGCATTAATTAAATTTAGTTTAATAAATAAAATTTTCTTATTAATTTCCTTATAATTGAAACTAATTAATTTATTAAATATTATTTGAATATTATTAAATGTGTAATTAGTATGAACTGGCTGAAATAAAAATATGTTGAGTGGTTTCGTCTAACATAAAATGTTTTAATTGAATAGGAAATCTTTTGTTTTGTAAATTATTACCATAGTGAACAATAGCTAAACGATTTCATGTTCTCATTACCAATTTTTAAAAAGTTGTTCAGAAAACGATTGTTCGTTTGAATATCTGGCTTTTGTGCGTTGTCGCATAGATCTAGTTATTTTTTATAAAGATAAATTAATCAAATGACGCAGTAATAATATAAATAAATACAGCGGAACCTTGCTTAACAAACACTTTGCATAACGAGCAAAATGAATTTGAGAAAAATGACTCGCTTAACGAGCGACGTTTCGCATAACGAGTGACCATGAGAAGAGAAGTCTATATCATTTTTAAAACTTGTGTACACATATTATGTGTATTTTTTTTAATATTAAACTCGTTAAGCGAGTATTTTAGTTTATAATTCTTTCTTCAGACGTCTTCATAAATTAGGATGATCGACTAAAAATATGTTAATTAAATTTCTAAAAAAATAAAAATAAAACGTACGCGATTAGCGATAATTTATATGAAATCTACCCCGAATGGTAATTCCATTATATTATGGAACTATAAAATGATGGTTTAAATTCGCATAATTTATCTTCATTTCGTCCTTGCCCCTCACGGGATGGCCGGGTTATTGGTTACAAACATTCTAAATGTGAAGATCATTAAGAACGGCGAGGAGGATGTGCGAGAAGGAGCAGCATTATTTATTGCTATTTAATTGTGGATCGGATTCATTAAACAAATGACGTTTTAAGGAGACGCAAATTATATACATTTTGTACGGCTATCCGAAATGTAATCTCGCCATTGCACGCCAACATAACTGTAACAACTCGAAAAGTGAACAATCAATGTTTGAATGTTTATTTATATATATACACATACGCACACTCACACAGATGAACTTGAATCCCAAGATCCGGTTCAATAAATTCCTGTTCACCTTTTTCAATTGTATATGTGTGTGCTTGCGTACTAAAAATTGTTTTGGTCTTCTTTTCCGTTTCTTCCTTTTATAGCATTTTTTCTTCTTCTCAACGTCGTCTTCTTCTTGTTCTTCCTCCGTCTCGTTTTATTTTATTCCATGTTCATTCGGTCGTTTTGATTTATTGCCCAAGGAGTTTTTTTTAAATGCGAGAAGACGTATTCGTAAATATAAAAGCACAATATTTCAAAGTGGATGCTAAAGAGCAGCGATATTGCGCGACCATCATTTATAATTTTGGCAAATTGTTGGGAATAACAATTCATTTTCGAGAAAATAAATGCAATATTTTCAATTTTGTTTATTTTTTTACTCTCAAATTTAAATTTATGTCATATAATTCTCATTTTCAGAAAAATATAGTTTATCATGGATCACTCATTTTTGTTTCGTAACTGCAATTCTATCTGGATCTTTTGGATATACAGTGGAACCTCGCTTAACGAGTACTTTGAATAACAAGCATATCGTTTAACGAGTAAAATGAATTGTAAGAAAAATGACTCGCTTAACGAGCGACGTTTCGCATAACGAGTGACGATGAGTAGAGAAGTCCCGGATTTCGCGCCTCCTGCATCATTTTTAAAACTTGTTTACATATATTATGTGTATTTTTGAATATGTTTCACTATACGAGTAAAAATCCAAAAAAATTGGACGGATTAAACTCGTTAAGCGAGGTTCCACTGTAATTATATTGACATGATTTGGAATATACATTTTTTCTTTTAATATTTATAATAAATCTTCTATATAAATGCATTTCAATTTGATGACGTTATTACTTTATTGTTTTAAGTGATTGTCATTCAGAAAACCTTTCCTATTGTGAACATGCTTATATTATACGAGTACAATCAATGGAATGATTAATTAATTGGTTTAATTAATAATTTTAAAAAATGCATTGCTCCATTCTTCTAGATACATAATTTCATACAATTTGTGGCGCAAATGAATAAATCATTAAATAAATATTTAATTTATTATTATTTAGTTAACGGTTCAAAATTTTATCTTTCCATTTGTTAATTTTTAAAACGAATGAGTGAATCAAATTAAATTATAATTTAAATGAAGAAGGCAAACACATTACACAATGGAGTTAGAAGAATCTATTGAAATTGTTTTTTTTTTACTGGTAATAATGAGAACAAAGTAAGAACAACCGGTTTGTATTAAGTACCCAATACGCACATGTTGAATATTCCGTGCTTTGTGAATTCTTTCTATAACTTGTAATATTTGATAAGTAATAATTAGGATTAATTGTCAGAGGTGAAGACGGTAACATTTGTTTAATATTTTTGTTGATGAGGAATTTGGGCAATGAATTGTTTCGTCAATGTTTTTTTAATATGATCAAATTTATGCTAACAATTATTTCTTGAAATATCAATGTTCGTTTCGTGCGTATTAATAATATGCTCATAAATTGGACATGTAAGGTGATATAAAAAAGAAGGTGAAAATGTTAAGGTAAAAACCCGTGGAAAAAAGGAGGGCCCGGTTTTTTCGCAATTCCTCGACCAAAAAGAATTATAACAACTTAATTTAATTATTGTATTCTCGCTGTCTTAACGGTCACCCATTATTGGTGACGAACGATGGAACAATTCTTTCTGACTCCTTGAACTTTATCTGATGGAGCTCTGATTAATTACATACCCCGCCAGAGTTTTCTCTCGTCGAAAGAAACCTTCGATGTAAATTTCTTCGGCGGATTCACATGAAATATGCACGCGGTGGTTCTCGTTGCCGCGCTTATTTTTACTCTTGTTTTATTCCCTCATATAACTGTCCCTCCTGCCGTTTCTGCCTCGAAATATAAAAATAAAATATATTTTTTTATGAACTTTTCGGTTGCATTACAAAGTGGGGAGCACACACTTCTTCAGCATGTGCTTGATTCGCTATATAAATGAAACCTGATAAATGTTGGCCGGTTAGTCTTCGGATGTTGATTGAAGTGCTGCTACGCTGATCCTCTTCTTCCACCGTTTTCCACAAAGAAATCGTAGAGCTGCTTTTTTTCTTCGGTTATTTTCTTTGGAAAAATACTAGTTGTAGTAGTAGTCAACTCAACATCATGAACAAATTCATTGTAAGTATAATGCAAAAAATTATGAATATTATTTTTAACCAACAAGAGACAAAATCTTTAAATTGTTTAAATTAAAATAATTCTTATTTAATAAATTTGATAATTGTAATAATTTAATATCATTGCAACAATTATAATAATAAGATTTCTTTTAAAAATTGTATAAATTGTTAAATATAAACAGATGACAAAATATGAATAATGAAAATCTCACGAATCATTGCAATTCCATCAAACAATTAAGATATGTTTACTGTTTACGTAATCGATTTAATTCAAAATTTTCTCGTTCCAATTTTGCACGCAATTAACATTCAGGTCGCGGCATCTCGCAAATATTTAATACAAAATACAATGAACGAGTAACGTTAATTTCTGATTCCTCTTGCCTATTTATTTGGTGCACGTTTGGTGTGAGGGAATTTCTGTTCGCGAATTTTCCGACGATTGATCCTGTCAGGTCAATCAAGAGAGGCAATAGCATGTACAGTTAGGAGTCAGGTGCATCCGCAAATTCAAAGACGGACGAAGATATCGTTTGGATGGAATTAAAGTGACGATGTCGGAGAAGTTTTTATTTTTTATTATTATTATTAACACTTAAGAGTCATTGTGCAGAGGCAATGAACTCGAACGCGGTTCTTTTCATATTCGCTTTTATGCTCCTCATATTTGCTCACCGGTGAGTGTAGGTGTATGTAGGTTGGTCATAAAACGATGACCAAATTCGCTAGTTTTATCTTGCCACAAACGATTGCGCTTTTCTCTCTTTAATGACTCTCTTCTGAATAAACAGGTGAACCGCAAGGATCTACTGCTTATTTTTATTTTTGCACCTGCTTTGGTTTTTGAATTCAAGTTCATTATCTCGAATTACCGGTCTCGATGCATCCTTTTTACATTGTTCTTGGTCGGCATTGCATTTTACGGTTTTCGACTGCGATTTCACGCATTCTGCAGGATCGCTAATGTCCTTCACGAAACGCGGAACTCGGTCTTATGGGCTGCCAGCCTTCGCTGCTCAACAACAACAATGATTTTATCGGCGAAACCAAATGAGATTCTTGTGTCCTGCCATTAATTTTGCTTGATTTTCCTTCTTTGCAGTTCCTTTTTCTGCTGAGCGCGACAAACGCATACCTTTATAATCCCTACTACAGGTTCTTCAGGTACCACGAACCGTACTATGGTTTAACGTATGCGAATCCTTATTTGCATCATGATAACGCTCTGAATTCGTACAGCGATCAGTCCAATTACTTATACACACTGAACGTGCTTGCTGAAGTTCCTCACGAGATCAAGAATGACTTCACCGTGGTGCCTCTGTTGGTCGTGGCGCAAGAAAGCATGAAGATGATCAACGATGGGGATATAATGGGAGTATCCCAGAACTTGCCGATGATGACTGTTAAGACCAAGGATGAGAAGACTGTTCAATGCAGCCCAGCCGTTAAAATAACGCTGAAAAAGCCGATTTTCGTATATACCCTGAAATCAACGATCGTCTTCCCATCAGAAATCGGAATCGTCCATGGAGATTACAGGATTCCTATTACCGTCGGTGCCGTCATTGCTCCAATCCCGCAGACTACGTACGTATCTTTGGAAACTCCGGCGAGGATCGAAGTCGTCTACGCAGTTCCTACGAGTCCAATTACTTTGGACTACATTAATAACAGCGATGTTGTCAGCGATGATGGTCAGGCGGTCGTAGTTGAGAGCGCTCCAGATTACGAACCCCAAAACATCACGATCATAAATTTCCCCGATAAACAAGCAGAACCTGTTTTGGATGTTGACGAGGAGAACAGCGAGCTCGGTAAGCAATTGCATCGTCAATTACTCAACTCGTTATTAAACGAATTGCCTTTTTGTTTGCTTGTTTATGTGCAGTCAATAGAAATCCACCGATGTTGTTGGCGCCGGCCGGTATTGTTCAATCGACCCAACCCCAAACCATCGTAAGTCAATTCATAAACTCCAAGGAATCTCCGGTTCTTATAGCTATCAGAGAGGAATCACTAAAGCATCGGTTATAGGTTATTCCCCTTCAGCTTTCATCATCAATACGTTACTAAATTCTCAATTAAAATATACAAAAACAAGACTTAATTTATGTTATTATAATAATGCTTTTATTTAAATAAACAATACTTTTTCCTAATACCAAGCATTTCAATTTAAACCTCTCCTATCACAATATTATAGTTTAAATAAGTAAACAAATTATCAATATCATTTCTTCCAATTAATTAATAAGTTTTTGCTAATTATTTAATATATAGCATACCGCATTATTTATTATACTGTCGGCTATAATTAAACTTCGACTGTATTCATTTCCTTTAAAGCGTCTTCGGTATGACAGGTCATTATAATTAACTGATTGAACGTCGAATATTGATTCATGTGTACAAGGACAAGGACGAGCTCGGTAAAATGCAATCAACGATATTAAAAAATATAAAATTTATTTTAAATTTACATTTAATTAAACTCTTCAACAATTAATAAATATTTACAATATACATAATATATAAATAGAATTCGTTTGAATCACAAATATGACTAGATTTTGTTGACTTCGTGGCTCTATTAAGAACAGTAAGATTAATTATCAACGGAAATATTTTCATCTTCGTCGCTGACTTCCAGCGAAGTGCCATTAGATTCCTCGTCGGTGATGACGCTTGTAACTGGATTGATCTCGTTCATGTGCCTTGACTTTAGGTGCCTTTCCAGATCTCTCCTCCGCACCAAAACCTTCCCACACAAGTCACACCTAATGGGGTAAAACATATTAGTCAGATTTGTTCTTTATATTCAATAATAATAAACTCTTACTTATAAGGTGTATCTCCTTCGGCGTGTAATCTCACATGCTTGTTCAAATTGCTCGGATCTCCGAACGGCCGCAAACAGAATTTGCATTTCAAAGGTTTGTAACCGGTGTGCGTCCTAATGTGTATCTTCAGTCCGTACTTCCTCGAGTACGATTTGCCGCAGTACAAGCAGATGTGCCCTTCCTTGTACTTCCCCAAGCTGCTCACAAGCGTCTCTATTTGCGCTTCATCATCGCAATTCTGCCCGAGAACTGGAGTGTGCACGTAGTCCTGGGGCATGTTAAACCTAGGCCACTGCATCAAAGGCGTTACATTGTTATTCTCTATCCGATTCTCGATCTTCTGGAACGGCTTGAACGCGGAATTGCTGTAAGTATTGTACGGCTTAAACAAATTTTCTTGCTTGATCTTTTTCTCGGCGGGCGTCGACAGATCAATCGCAATCTTCTGCTTTGGACACATCATGCTGGATTCAGGCACTAACCTGAACTTAAATTCAAGTCCGGTTCTGTGTTCGTTCTCTTGAAGAGCCATTGAAAGCTTATCCCAGAGGGTGGTCATAGAGAACTTTCCGCATCCTAGAGTCAGATGAAGTTTCAACGGATTCGGCGATTCGTAAAGTGCGGAACATCTTGTGCAGACGTAATTCTTTTGACCTGCAAAAAAATAACCAGTTAATATTAAGGGTGAATAAATAAAAATACGCAGCCGGTAGGATTCGAACCTACGCTCCCAGAGGGAATCTGATTTCGAGTCAGACGCCTTAACCACTCGGCCACGACTGCTATAAAATAATTTAACAATTTGCTCAATACAATAATATCAACTAAATTACAAAATTCATGTGTATTATTGAAATTATAATTTAGCAGATTGTGATTTATTCTTTTAGAATTTATTTATTATATAAATTAAATAAAAGGTAATACTGTAATGTTGTTGTTTTTTTCTTAGAAAGAGTTTTATTGTAAATAATTAAGAAGTTTATAATTAATTGACTTACCTTGTATATTTGCTGGAGTTAAAAAGCCCATATGAAGAGTAGCTAGAATATCTTCGGAAAACCATAAGAGTAATTCTTGTCCTGGCTCAACAGATCTGACTGCTTGTAAAACAAGTTTCGGTTTTTCCTCGTTTTCCAAGTTCGATGAATGGTGAGGTAATTTTCTTAACTGAATGTTGTAGCTATGACAATCGTCAGCCAAACGCAAAGCGCGAACCCAATGGACGTCGCGATTCCAAACGCTCTTCGATCCTTCTTCCAGCTCCATCGTTCCATATGAATTAGCGCCCACTGAAATCTAATTAGAACTTGGGTGAGATTTATTCAAAACAGGTGGAAGTGAATATCTTACTTGGACAATTTCAGTATTTCCTTTCAGCATCTTGGGATTGATGGGCATAGATAAGCATCCTTGTGGGATCCGCGTTGATGAAATGACCCGTCCAGGCACCAGGAGTTTCGAGGATGCTGCAATGTCGCCGACCGCAGCGGAGAGTGGCTGTATGTACCTGCTAGTGGCTGTCGGGAACATTTCAGCCAGTTTATGCCAAGTCCAGGTGACAGATTCGAGGTCCAGGGCACACGTTTCGAAACCTGCAGGATATATCCGATTGCGCGCAGGATGGGATCTGCAGACGGACTGACTAGAAGGTGTCCTTTTGGTACATATCACTTTAACCACCACCAATATCGAAGTTGGGGGATGGACCAAAGCCGCACCACCACCACCCCTAGTATTAAGTTTCAATACAAATGCATTGTCGACACTCCGCCCCAATGTTAATAAAGCCCTTAAAACACCACTTGCTGCACTTTTTAGGGGTGCGCCTTACTAGAGGGGCACTACTTGTTATTGCAAAACAAAATAATTGTTTTATAGAAACATATCTCTTGCAATTTTAAATTATTAATTTATAAGATTTATCTTATAAGATTATCAATTGTATCAATTTTAATAATTATTTTTGTTTTCATTAGTTTCATTACAAACACATTTCAGAAGTATCAATGTATTGTAATTTCATTTTTAATTATTACAATTTTACCAACAAAATTATTACTAAGGAAAGTACATAAAATGAATTGTATTAAATTGAAATATGTTATAACTTAATAAACATTAAATTATTGAATAAATTTAATATAACTTTCGTTTTGTACAAAAATAGATCTTTGTGGGCGGAAAGACCTCGGTCGTTAGCCCTTTGACCAGCCTATTAGTATATATATTTTTATTGTATGTTAAAATTTATTAATGTATAAATTGTACTTTTTTTTTCTCTTCTTCTTATGTATCGATGTTTGGCCAATAAATTATTATTATTATTTAAATCTTTGTTGAAATAAATTAAATTGTATTATTGTTTCTTCCTTTTGTTTGTGTATAAAATTGTTGATATTAATGCATGAATGTAATTAGGTCAGAGAAGTATGCCATTGGATGTTGGTTGCACCTTGCAGACAAGTGCAAGGGTAGTGGATGGATGGCACGTGCTGCGGTTCCCGGGCACGTGGCTCGTTTCCCAAAACACTTGCGAAGTCAGCAGCCCGCACAGATTGGAGGGTGCGATATTGCTATGCTATTTTGCTATTCTCCTCCTCCGCCGATTGGACAGATGCTATGGTACCCATGCCCGGATCACAGGTGCATTCTGACCATGGTACCGAATTTGAATGCTGCATAAACCATATCATTATCATCGCACTTATCACCATTTGATCAGCATTAATCCGACAATCAAGTTACCATTGTTGATGCAATATTTTCTATCTGATAGTGGTACGTAAGGCGGACAATAGTATTAATATTGGTTATCACTTTACGAATAAACATTATCTTATGGCTCAAATTTAACTATTTTATTTAGTCATATACTAATAATATGCGTTAATATTATTTTTGGTATGAATGAAAATGTTTTTATATATTTTAAAAATATGTCTACAAAAATGAAAAATAAAATTTTAATGTGAATGAAATAACATTAATATACGATGTATTAAATAATAAATAAGAACTAATTTCTAACAAGCTAAGAAATATAAATGACTAATTTATTTGAAATCATTTAATATTACATAGAATTTAATATTAGACAGAATTAAAGCATTCCATGTCAAGTTTTAGGAATTAGGTTTCAATTTTTCGCCCGCTTGTAATGAATTTAAAACCTAAAGCATACTGTGTAAAATTTAAATGATTAATCGGTCGTGATGTGATCGCTTAAGAGGGCGATTTTAAGACGCACGACAAACAAGGGCTGCGGCCCTTCGCTCTGCACCTTCCACAATAAACAAATCGCATTAGAATGAAAATTATGAACCAATCGGTCGTGTGGACTGCTGCGGTAGAAGCAGTAATATCTGCTGGGCAGGGGTGGCTTAGCGATGCCCAAATGAACATTTAATAGGGGGACAGAGACCAAATTACAAAAGGCAAGTGCCGCAGTTTATTTAATAAGGGTACACATAGAACCCCGGCACATACACCGAAAAAAATATGGTATAAGTATAATTGATTCATTTTGTGCTTTTCATTGGAAAACTTTTGATGATGGAAAAATATTTAAAAAAAAATGTTAATGAGATTCTTGATAGTTTACACAAGTATTATAATTAAACTAAACCTATGTGAATGAGACTAATTGTACAATGACTTTATCAGTTAGTTTGTTATCAACTATTAATTTATTTTGTTATTATTTTAATGAATTAATGTTGTCAGATCTTACTGAAGATGATGGATAGGTCTAATAATAAAACATTAACTACACCTGACAATTGGGAAGAGGATAAAAAGATGATAGTTCACATAACCAGTTTAATTTAAAAAAAACTAAAAAATATATCGCATAATGTTGCTAAAAGAAAAAAAAATAAGGATTATTTCAAAGTCACAATTTTAGATAAATACAATAAATTACGTTTGCAAATTGTAAAAATTGATAAATAAAGAAACATTAAAAAACAACATCGTGCATAATCGATGTAAACGTTGGCACATAATTAATCAGTTCCAAAGTACTTTTGACCAAAATGATTCGGAGCTACAGGATGCACTTCGGACGTTAATATTTTCATCTGCAATAAAGGAATATGTAATAATGAAATAGTAAAAAAATGAATAGTTTACTTTTGGAAATGAGTCGGTGACTATTTGGACGGCGGCTGGGGTACAGAATAAATTGCTTAAAATAATACAATCTTCCTTAACCCCATGCTCTTTGAGCACTTTGACAGCTTGTGTAACTGTGTTACCAGTTGACATAATCGGATACATCAATAATACCTGCAGCAAAAAATAATAATTAATAATGTGCAATACAAAATGTATATATTATTACTTGTCTTTTTGCAATATCCTCTGGGAATCTAGCATAAACCACTCTCGCTTCATGTGTGTCCACATCGGATTCAACTAAAATTTTACCAATCCTAATACTTCTACAACAATCCCTCAAGCCTTGCTCCATAGCCTCCCCAGATCTAACTATAGAAACCCCACAATTCCCAGACCGATATTTCAGTCCATGATATGTAGCTCCTGTGGGTGTGACCACTTTGCAATCTGTGAACGGCAGCTGATTTAGACTCTCCTCAATCACCAATCTGATTAATCGATCTGCATAGAATTTGAAGTCATTACGGGTTGTGTTCCTGTAAGAAATTCCAACGGATTGCATTATTGAAAACTATTATTGCAGATTATGTACTTGTCACGCAATATCGTCTGCAGCTCTTTGATCTGGTCGTTGCCAGGAAGCAACTTGATGTTTTTGCTTATGGATTCTAAATTACTGTAGTCCACATTAGTTACTATTTGTATGTCTGAGCTTCCCATGGTTGTTGAGGTTAGTTAAGGTGAAACGATCGTCAGTTCGTGATCCTAAACTTAAAAAATAGTTGTAACAAGACAAAACGGTAAATATACAAATTAGCTGCTCTTATTCCAGCTGGTAGTCACTGGTATATTAAATAACTGGAAATGTTTGCACTTTTCGATTTTGAGGTTATTCTCAGTCTCTCTTTCATGCGCATGCCAAATTATTGCTGAATTTCACGTCAAGCAAGCTGACCACATCTAATTCTTATTGATGTTCATTTCTTTTAGTTTTTTCTTTTATATCATTTTATAGAATGGCCAATAACCAGAATAAATATGTTAATATTTTATTATTGTTTTGCATGTTCAAATAAACGATGTAATTATCGGTGGCAATCGCAAGCCCGACAACCGAAATCCCGTCTATGGAAATCCTGACGTTCGAAATCCCGAGTGTATCGAAATCCCGACTATGTCAAAATCCCGACTATATCGAAATCCCGACAATCTAAAACTTAATAAGATTATAAATTGTTGTTATTTATTGTTAATAACATAAAATAATTTTATTATAGAATATTTCTTATTCTTAAGTTTTATAATGAATAAGTCAATGAAAAAAAAATACAATAATAATTAATATTATTTATTGTTATTAAAAGTATTTTTTTATATAGTAGAATAATTTAAAAATATTATTGTAGAAATTATAATAATAAAAGACACTGTCGGGATTTCGATATATTCGGGATTTTGATTGTCGGGATTTCGATACACTCGGGATTTCGAACGTCGAGCTTTCAATAGACGGTCTTTCGGTTGTCGGGCTTGCGATATAGACCCGTTAACATATTTCCTTTATTCGATAATTAGACCACGTTTCCCAAAATTTTCCTGCAACGGAACACCTATTAACTTTTAGCGGAACATAATTTAGGAAACCCTGTTTTAGATAATTAAGAAACTTTTGACTAGACCTAATTTTTTAAATGTATGAAACTCAAAAGATTAAGACTGTGATACATGATACATTTGTACTATAACTTAGTTACACCTTTAATTTAATAGAATGGAACTTTTAACTCTAGCAGAACAAAGAAACTATCCAAGAATTATATTATTTAACACTAGAAGATTACCAAAATATATTATTAATATTAATTCTTTAAATTCCGAGTTTCTACTTCCATACTCATTTTTAAATACCATTATTTTTATTTTTAAATATTTAAAAGTCGCAATTAATATCGCATTTGTTGTTTAGGATAATGGGCAGAACTAAACGCGTTCGACGAAAGAGGAAGTATCTGGATAATGGATCTAGTTTGGACGATGATTCAAATATCATTGATTTACGCAAATGGATGAAGAAAAAGGGTTGGAGGAACGAAACTCGATTAAAATTGAAAGAGTTTAAATATACAGGAAGGGGAGTCCATTCACGGGTTTCATTCCAGCCAGAAGATTCCCTAATAGAAATTCCGTACGATCTAATGATAACATCAACAGTTCTAGATCGTTCGGAATTGCAACAATTTTTAACAAATAAATTAAAACTACAAGAATTATTAGCACTATTCTTGGTTTACGAGAGACACAAAGGTGCTGCATCCACTTGGAAATTTTACGTAGACTCGCTTCCGATGAAGAATCCGGAAGTACCATGGTTGGAATCGGAGGAGGCTTTCGGTGAGTTGCCCGATGACGTGATGACAACGGCGAAGGATAAAAAATGGGCTTTGGAAAGGAGTTGGGAGAGTGTCCGGAGATCGATAAAGTTTCAGCAGTGTCCTCACTGCAAGGAAATGTTGGATTGCGTGTTCGACGCTGATTCATTTGCATGGGGCTACGTTATGGTCAATACTAGGGCCGTCTACGTAGACCCCGACATAGTTTCAAGTCTGGCTGATATTAATTCGCTGGTATCAGATGACCCGAACATGGCGCTGTGCCCTTTCCTGGACATGTTTAATCACTCACCTGAGGCCCATACCAGAGCGGAGCTTCGCTTCAGCGACGGCAATCTTATCTATAGATTAACAACTCTTCGGGGCTTCCAGAAATATCAGCAGATATTTATTTCGTACGGCGCTCACGACAATAACAAACTGTTTTGCGAGTACGGATTTTTCCTACCAGATAATCGATTTGATAAAATTGCAATTACGTTCGGATGTGTAATGGATCAGATAAAAATGCGCACGATGCAAATCAATGAGAGGCAGTTCAGGTATATCAAGGATAAGGCTTTGTGCGATGATCTGAGCGTTTCGTTATGCGGTCTCTCCTTCAATTTATCCGCTTTGCTTTACGTTGTCTTCCACACCGATGTCAGAGACTGGAGTTCGAACATATTTACTGCCACTTACTCGGAATCGGATGTGAATAATTTTGTGAAATTTGTTTTGGAGCTATTGGAAATGAAATGTAAACGGACAAAGACTTTTGGAGTGTTCGGGGATTTTTTGACTAATAGATGGAATTTCGTAGTGAGAGTTCTGGACTTTTTAAAGCAATCGTCAGTTTAATAAATATTTTATTGCCCAATGTACAACGTTAATATCATTTTCTCTATAAAGAATATATAATATATTAAGTAAACAACATGAATTATATATATTTTTTTTTGTTTCTTGCAATTCGTGGATCGTGCGCGTATCTAAAATATAACAAAAAAAATCATACGAATTAATTTATCCAGGAACCAATGTCCAATTTTCTAAAGAAAACAAAAATATAAATTTAAATACGAGGACTATCTGCTTCATTTTTTTTGCATCCTCGTCATCTGTAATCAAAAACAAAACATACTTAGCAATATTATAAATTTTTCAAAACTACATCTATAAAAATAAAGCTAATAGACATTTCAATGTTTGATATATCTGGTACAATATAATCAGATGAATTTAATTAATACGAAATTATAATTTCATTTTTGATGTGGTTGGTCGGTTTGGTATGAAACAGGAATAATTGCGATTTTATAAGGGGTGCGCTTTTGTGATGGCGGCAATTCAAGTCGCATCATAATACCATAATTGTGCCCGACATTGGTCACGGCTTCGGCAAGTGCAAAGCCACCCCCCCGATGTCGCCGCAGCACCTGTGTAACCGCATCGAATGTCCCCTTCTTTTCCTAGTGTCCATATATATATATAATTTTTTTTGCGAGGGATGAAGAACACCCGGTCCACGCGAGTGGGGAGCAATGGACCCCATCTACCAAACACCACACGCATATCTATCTGATTACGTTCTCGGTTCGTTTGACTTCAAGAGATTTAATAAACCGATCTGTTTTGCATTTGCATCAGAACCCGGGGATTGTATTCGTATGTGTACACGCCTGTCCGATTTTAAAATTGTTTTGCTTTCTATTCCGATTCATAAAATCATCCACCCTTCCCGAAGCCAAACGAACAGGAGAACCCCCAAAACCTATTGGAATAATATTGTCATTCGAAAGTAGTAGAAGCAACACGGACATACACAAACAAATTTTATTTTTCTTGTGACAATATGTTGATAACGAATTGAAATGAAACTAAATTCCCATTAAATAAAGTGTACGACAAAATCGAATGCGTCATGTAATTTATTGATACGTATTGATTTTTTAAGTAATTTCTTTACGGAATTATAATTAAAGAGTTCAAGCTTTGTAATTACCTAAAAATTGATTTGCGAAATACACAATGCGATATTTCTATTTTTAAAATTATCAACCTCATCAACCTTGTATTGTAAAGATATTATCTTCAATTTTTCTGAAGGAACAAAAGTATTTATGTAAGTATAAAATATTAACAATGAAATAATATATCAAATGAGTAGTTGATTTTAATTAGTCAGGATCCTTATAAAGTTTTTCTTTTATTTGAATTGATGGAATGAAATACAAGTATATATAATTTATGTAGGAAAATATCGATTAGAGAAACTAATTTCCTAAATTGTATTTTAGAATCAACGTGTACCTCGCATAACGAGCAAAATTAATTCTAAAAAGAATCCGGAAATTTTGAAACTCGTTAAGCGAGGTTCCACTGTATATTGGAAAATAAGAGTTTTCATAAAATATGTAGTATTAACGTAATAAACAAAAAGTATCTAATAAATATTTCATTAAAAATGGTTATAGATAGTAACACGATTTACGAGTAACATATAAATAAAAAAGTTATTTTCTGTGGTTGACTATTATCTATCAATTTATTATTAATAGTAATAATGATGTTAGATCATGGAATGATTGTACCAATCAATATCGGTTTTAGTAGGGATGCAGAATTATCTACAATTGTAAATTTGATTATTATTTCTCTCGATGGATCCATCAAATGATATACCTGAGTGGACTTAAGCCAGCGGGGATTTGGACCCACATTAAGTACAAGTGCATTTGTAATAAGGGACTCGAAGGGATAAATTTAATACTCCAAAAACGTAGTCAAACACAGTATTCGGATGGGGTGCAGCGATTTAGTACAGGGTGTCGACATGTTATACATGTTGCTACTCTCTCTTTTTTCTCCACCGCCCTAGGGTAATGGCAGTGTGTGCGCAGCTGGCGATCGGCAATTTAAAAAAAATCACCCTCACGGATATTCGTAGTCCAAATTTATTTTTTTCTATACCCACATTTTTTAATACTTGCAACAATGAGATTAGGATTTGTCAAACAAAAAGGATTGAAAATATACTAGTATAGAAAGTATTAATTGAATGATGGAAAATGCATTTATATAAATTATACTTTTATCTCTGGTTTGTTTAACAGAAACTAAAAAAAATAACTTACCAAAATTTCAATGTATCTTCAAATCAATTTATCCATGTATTTTGCTGAAATAGTTAATCGATTTTAGATGAATTCCTAAAACTGTTTATGTGCATTTAATTACCAATTTCTTCGTTATCATTTTGTCCCTGTTTGATCTCGTCTCGGAGCTTCATGTGCTCGATGAGTTGGATGTCTTGCGTTGGACCTTCTTCATCGCTGGTGTCCTTTTCGGCGTTCAAAGCCCTGTAGATCTCTGCTCGATTCTCCAAAATCTCTCTAACGATATCTGCAAAGCGAAGCAAACATTGTCACGGCGTGTTGGATTTGACCTTTACAAATTTCCGTTTACCGGTAAGCACGTCTCTGCTACTGACCATTTCCTGGAGTTCTGAGGTAACTTCCTTCATCAACCACGGTATGAACGATTCATCGACATCTGCAAAAGGTTAAGGTCGACTCAGCATTAGCATAAAATCGATATGGTATTTATTTTAAAACAACTTACTTTGTTTAATGTTATCGGTGAGGAAACCTTCATCTTCGAGGCCTTCGAGCACGGACGGAAGAAGGTCGGCCATGTAGCCCTGCATGAGAACGGCTCCAGCTATTCTTTCCTCCAAATCCTTTTGGACCCTCATACCTTCCTCGTACTCGGCCAACCTTCGTTCCTTCTCGTATTGCAGACGTTTCTCCAATTCCTGGAGTCGCTCGCTTTCTGCCAATTCTGCGGCGTGCTTTTCCATGAATCTGCGTTGTTGTTCTCTCAACGCGGCCAATTCTTCCTCTTCCAGCACTTCGATCAAGGCTTGCTCTATCGTCTTGCCAACGAGCACCTCGAGTATAGGCTGCACTTCCATATCGAAGTCGAATAGCTGTGTGAATTCAAAGAGCTTTAATAAGACCCTTGTATACAAATGTATACAAATGAGGTTTGAGATTGGCGATAAGACAACCAGTCTTAGTCACGCCTGCTAATTTCAATGTCGGCTTTTCTTCAGCAATCGATTTTTTACTTACATCGCCTGGGTAAATTTGCGTCTCCACGTCAGCTCCCGTTTTGGCTGGTACATAATAAGGCGAAATAGGTCTATCCAAGAATAGGTCTGTCTGAGTCGTAACATCTTCCATTATTGGATGTTCCCATAGTTCTTCTAAATATTTATCGGTTTGAACCGGCTCATGACGTCTTCCCTTAACTGGTGGAGGAGAACCCAGCCTAAGTTGAGCTCCTCTTAGTTGCTGAGTTTGAGCTTTCTTTCTAGCCATAGCTCGTCTCCGCGCTTCCGCCGCCCTAGCCGCAGCGGATTCTCCTTCACCCTACAATTCAATATACATATCTATTCCATAGTTTATATCATATCTTCAATTTAGTGTATGTTCAAAACTACAAATCGGCATCATTAAAATACAGGCAGTTCTACAAGACTCAAAGTGGCTTACCCATAGGTCCCTTGAGAGCAATCTGGCATAGGCAAAATTGGGATTCCACCTTTGCTGCTATCGCACAATCCAAAAGTAAAGATAAAGAACGACCATGCGTGAGATTATTACTGTCTAATAAGAGTTCGAAAGCATCTACGTACGAGAAAGGAAAATAAAACAAAACTGATACCAGGTGCAAATATTAATTTAGAAAACAAACAATGAGCCGATTCGTAGGGAGGGAAAACAATAACGTTTATCAAAATACACGCTAGAGTTGCGAACTTTATCTGATTTGATTACCGTTGACATCGGCTGCTGGGCAAAATTGCTGCCCCGGACCACTCTCCTCTCGAACATAAGATTCGCATAGGGCAACGGGGCATCTCTGTAATCAAAGTGAAAAAATACCAAGAACGAAAATAATTACGTGGAGAGAAAATTGTGGCTAATGTATAATTCACATGTTTGTGAAGTTGTGGAAATCTGTTACAGGTAGGATCAATAATGTACTGCTAATGCATAAATCGTTTGCCACACATACAATTGCTTTTCACCTAGTTTCTTAGCACACGTACGTAAAACTTCATGGAAGACAAATGACTTTGTTATTATTTTCAAGTGGGTTACGTAATGCACAGAATCAATAAATTAAAATTCGATGCAATCTCGCGTAGCGCGACATGTGTTTGAGTTTGAACATTACTTTGGAACGTGGAATTTATTATTATCTTGTTTCAGCAATTAAATTAATGGTTTATGCATGATTCAAGTCAATTCCATCCACAATCGATATGGAAAGTATATTTCTAAATGATTAATTGGTCGTGTGACATACCCCAAATGTTTTGGGACCGAATTAGAGTTAACGTCTCTTTTGGTGATGATATGGTCTTCTTGGACAACTGCCGAGGCTACTGTTGCTGCGGCTTTAGCAGCCGCCTCGCATCTAGCTTTATGACCTGTTTTTGATGGACTCCTATCTAAAACCCTCGGATGACTAGCATACGCGTACAATTTTTTCTCCTCCTTCCGCGGCTCTTCTTCCAATTTGATTCCTAATAATGTCGCCAGTTCAGGCGGAGGTTCTAAGAATTCACCCTTCCGCACTGTCGTAACGAATCTGGGCTTCGAGATATCGTTTTTCTTCACCACCGATTGCTTCTCGTCCCGTTGCAACTTCCGCAACTTGGCGTCCAGGGATTTGGTGAAGTTCTTATCTAAACCGTGATTTTGCAGATCCTCTATTCTAATCTTGCAGTTGTTTAACTGACCGTGTGAGTTGCTGTGGTTCTTCTTGAGATTAATAGTACTGTTATCGGCGATGAGACATCCGTTGGATTTTGCGAAAGGCTTCTGCTTGTTATCCTCCAGCGAGTTGTTGGTGATACGACGTGTCGGATAAACGATCCCATTGGGCCTGACCTTCTGGTTATTCCCGAAGGGCTTCAGAAGGGACTCGCCTATTATGGTCATAGGGAGATCATCATTGTTCAGCACTTTGAAGGCCACGTCTTCGGGCTCCGGTTCGGATGGCTCAGTAACTACAGGAGCAGGCATCGAGACTTCTGTCATATTTCCTACCCGAAAATTCACTTTCCTTCGAATAACCGCAGTTTCATCGTTTTCCAATATCGATCAGATAAAAGGCTTATTGATAGTAAAAGCAAGGTTTCATATCTACGATCATGTTTATATATTTGAAACTTTAATTATTTTCTTAAAATTTAATATAAATAATTATATTTTCTTAGTTTTTCTGATTTCTTAATGTAGTTTTATAAGTCTTGGGAATCGTGAACAGTCGAATCGCGGTTGTCGTGCGGCGTCCCGACGTCGGCTGACCGCACTCTCTATACGACTGACTGACCGGCGTCCAACACGTTTTCAATAAAATACGAATGCGGCGCATGGCCTTTTGTTGTTCACCTTTTTTTTCTTTTTCGATACAATTCCACATAAATGAATTCATTTGGATAAAATACTCAGACATATGGGTCCCACGCGTGCACGTTCTTATCATCATCACCAAACCACCTAAACCCTATTAAAAATGCACATATGCTGGCAAACATAACTTCCATTTCCACGTTAAGTATTCAGTAACACTAGTGTTTTACTCAAACTACAATTACAATAATATCAATATTCAAAAATATTAGAAAAATTTAATATTTGTTTAATACAATATTAGTGATGATCAGGATATTAGCTTAGATTAAAGCTAATCACATTTAAATCACTATTTATTTTTATCGACATATTAACATCAAACATCATTAGAGCAATTTCGAAATAAATGTTTTATGATAGGAATAACATTTGTTATAAAATATAATATCTTGCTTTAATCCTTTAAGGTGCAGAACTATTTGTTAATATTGTGTACGCCCGCATGCAGTGATAAAATAAATAATAACTTTTCAAACTTCTTCGTACAGCTTCAGAAATTGATCACATATTTAACCAACCAATATTCCATAAAGACTATAATCCATTGTTTTTTATAATGATTACATTGAGGACATTACATTACGGACAAATTAAATTGTAAATTATCATAAGAATTTTCAGTAATATTTGGATGCTTCAATAACATAGAAATTTCTGGGTAAACTTGTTTCATATTATATTATAATACAAACGCTTTAGTGTACATTTCTTATACTACTAATGGCCTGTAAAGATAAACACACTATGCCAAGGATAATTAGTTATAAACTATCGATTGCATTTGCTTTGAGATACAGCGGAAGGAATTGAAAAGGACCCAAGTGTAAGAGGTTAATTTAGTCCAGCGGAATGAATACCTACGTAATTGATAATGACACGAATGGGTCGTATAATAGTGTGGTTTTCACGTCCGTCGCAAATGAATTAAAGCGAAGATTATCGGTTTCACATCGCATGTCTCCTTTATTATATTGTTCTAGTTTATATGTTCAAGCTATAATCCGACGGATGGAAATAAAACCGCAAAACCTATAATTTATTTCATCCGTCGCAGGTAATACTAACACAATACCACGACGAAGTATCGATTCTAATCATTCGATGCACCATCATACTGACACTTAAATCAATTGGTTTAATTTTGAAGCCAAAAAAACTTTATAGTTATTAACTTTATGGATTTTATGCAGAGATTAAATTAATTTACCGGTGTAAAATTGTAATAAAGATTTTATGGGTTTACTTCAACGATAAATACATTTTTATTTAATTTTATTGCATATAACAATTAATAAGAAATTAATTTCCTTTCATAACATAAATTAACTTGTTAATTGCTCATTTTGTCAAGAAATATCTCACGTAGTGCGGATTCAGGGTTTGAAAAACATTTTGTACTGCGCTGAATTAGTCTGGTTTCAAACAGTGCGGGAGTTTGAAGTAACCTATTACTCGTACTTTGCTAGGTAACAATTTTTTACAAATATTGAATTGACATATTTTCATTATTTGATATCTTAAGTATTATAAGTCTTCATTGAAATATACAAGCTTCATGAAAATTATTTTCAGTTTAATATAGTGACCTGAAATTGTATGTTATGAATGTTTTGCTTTAAAAAAATCAATAAATAATGTCAGTCATCTCAGTACAAACAGAAACTACAATAATGTAAAATGAGGTAACCTCAATAATATTTATAATCAAGTTAATGGACAAATAATCTTTGTCAAATAATCAACACTGTGGATGCGCCGGGTAAATTGGCTGAACAATTAATTTCTAAAGCTTTAAATGTACATACAATTGATTGATTCAAATATTTACAATGGATTCTATTATTTGTTATATGAATTATATAACGTAATTACATTTAATAGTCAGAACAAACCATCTGCACCTTTATGCTACGCGTTTCTTCAGACTGTACAAAATACCAAATAATAAATGAATGTGTTTATAGTTGGAGGATATTTTTTTTATAGGTTTACGTGCGCCGATAAAATGTTGAGATTAGAGCGGCAGGGATTTGCATACGAATTATGTCCGGCCAAATCAGCCAACATCGGCCAAGGTCAAGGGATATCGTATTTATTTTTACGTCCCGTGTAAAACCGAACTTTCCTTTTTGCCAGGAAAAAAAAAACAGAAACAGGAAAATTGTATTAAGCAAATATGAATTTAATTGCCGTAACCCTTTTCGTCCTTGCTGCATTATTTTCTGAACCATCGAGTTACATTGTATAATTTTCAACTGCAGCAAAGAAAATTAACATAAAATTGTATTTTACAATTTAACTGTAATATTTGAAACTTAACAATAAGAGAACGAAAGATAATAAATAATCACTATGAAATTTGCTTGTAATATTACAAACAATTGGGTAAATTGATATAATCGTTACAAAATTACATATTACTAGTTACGTAATTGTATTTATATAATAATTACTAATATGAGTTTATTCACCCTCCTTTCTACATTTTTTGTGCTTATATAATCAATTGAGTAAATATATCTAAAACAAATATTACATGATTAATTCTATCATCATTACAAAACTGTTTTGCATTACCACAAAATACTTCAATTGTATTAATAACATGAGTTCCTTACAATTTGATCATCTATTCAAATGCTTCCAGCCAAATATATTGCTTAACTATAATAACTTGTGAAATAACTTTCAAAGAAATTTCAATTTCAGGGGGATGGAGTTATTACAGTTTCTTGAAACGTATAATTGAACTACATATTTTATACAATTGACCCGACATACTTTCATTGAAATTTCAGAATTCTCTGAAATTGATCAATTCTAAAAAATAAATGTAGTATATATTATTTATTTAAACATATTTATATGTGCCAACGGATAATGGACTAAAGTTTTCTCGCCTTGTATTCTATTATATAAGATGTTTATAAATGGATATTTGATAGTTAAGAGGTTTTTCTTCAAATTATATTTATAAATGTGTATTATTTGTTAATTTTATTTCATTTTCTGAATTCATAAAATATAATGTAGTAATTAACTTCAAATATCTTTTGAAAATTGGAAAATATTTGATTACTTATTTATTGGAAAAATTATTAGTAAAGGGCTATCAATCGAGGTTTTTCCGTCCAAAATATGTTTTAATTATAAACAATAATTTAAAATAATTGCTTAATAATTTCTAATTATTTAAATTGTAATTATAATTTCATTTTTACGAATACAACTTTAGACATATTAGTATATAAATGTGCATGAAAACAATCATAAAAAAATATCTAAATTATCTTTATTTAAATTTCTGTTTAAAGATTGTCCCAACATGCGAGATTTAATTAACTTCTTTTATGCGCTCTTAAAAAGATTTGTTATGTGCAAAAAAAATAAGCTGTATCATTTCATGTGTATCTCAACGTTTTTGCTTTGTTTCGGGGTAGGAGAGGGTATTTGAACCCCGTAAGTCACTGCTGTATACGTGCTGTTGTTGTTTTTTGTTTGTCGGTTTATCGCGTGATTTCCGTCGACCCTTAGGAAAAGTACTGGCTGAAAACTTCCACCCAGCGCCCATTAATTGGCTTGACCTTCGTCCAGAATAGTGAAATACAAAGCGAGGGGTGGGTGGACTGTGTGGATCCTAGGTGTTTCCAGAACCGCCGTTGCCACCCGCCAAGAAGGGCCAAGTCCATTCACCTCGCAATCTATAATTTCAAGCGCGAATCGATTCCGATGGTCAAGAGGGATTTTTTTTCTGTCTATTAAAATTGAAACTAATTCCATCCATGATTACGTTAGCACAATTCATCGGAATGTATAGTTTATGAATTTGTTGCCTGACCGTTTACGCAATATTTCCTAATACTCGATATTAAAAATAGATTTGACCCCTGGGACAAGTCAATTTTTATTTACTGTTAATAATACAAGGTACAAGAATATAATAATTTTGTTTCTTGACTTTCTATTTCTTGACACTATTTAAAAATATCCTAAACTCCTCTTACATCAATATCAACATATACATTTTACTACAATTTATCACATGTTTATAAAGAGTATCCATCCTATTATTGCAAAAAATATTGTATGCTGGAGTAAGACTTACTCCAATTCAAAGTGGATTTCTCTAAATAAAAAAAGTGAGTCGAATAGTCAAAAAAAAGTATACTTAATGGGATTCATGAAGTCAATAATTTCCTAGAACATGTCAATTCCATGATAGATGATAGATTATAAACTAATTTTTCAATATTTATAATTCACTACGATTTTTAAAAGGAACGGATTAAAATATTCATATTATGATTAAATTATACAAATTTACCTGTGAAAAGTGATATTAAAAAAAAATGAAATATTGCACAGTAAACTTTATAATTGAAATATTATAGCGTTTTATATTGCTTTCATAAATCGCGTTTTTTAAAGTCTAGTAATTAACACGTGCTTGTATTTAGTTAGTATTTAATTTATATATTTTGATACACATACATGTTATCTAAGTTACCAATTAGATTAATTTGATCAATTATCTGTTAAGTATGTATGTAACCTGTTTAATCCGCTCAAAAATTTCCTTATTTTTACGTGTATAGTGAAACATACATATAATATGTGTATACAAGTTTTAAAAATGATGTAGCAGGCGCGCAATCTGAAACTTCTCTTCTCATCGTTACTCGTTATGCGAAACGTCGCTCGTTAAGCGAATCATTTATCTTAAAATTCATTTTGCTCTTTAAGCGA